TCATAAAACTTTCTCGAAGCCGATCTTGAAATCCAATTGGTCTAAAATGGGTTAGAAAGGCATTCCTCAAGGCCTTCCAATTGAAAAATCTATCCACTTCTTGCCGAATATATCATTCAAAAGTTGTATCTTTTAAAGTTACTGGCAACCATCTCAATCAAATGTCTTCAGTTCTACCATTATTAGCCATATAGGTTGTCAAGAATTGAGATATGTAGTGATCGGAATCAAAGCTCGGCCAACCACTAAAAGTAAGTAATGGTGCCACACTTGTAGTTCAGTCTCCTACTGCTCCCATTTGTATTGTAATTGGTACTTTTGGCACTCCCGGGGCTATTGGTGTTATCACTGATCTCTTTATTATTTGAATTTGAATTTTTCTTCCTTTGGTTTTACTTGGATCTGCAATTCCTTTTTTTTGTTCCCGTAGGAGATTTCTTATGCGTAATTGCTCATGTCTTTCTTTTGCTTGTCAATTATATCTTTGATAATCCTCCTTCCGATGATTATCACTCATAATCTTTCATTCTTCTTTATAAAATCAATAGTGCCTTGAATTATAATTCACATATTTGTAACCTTAAAACTGGTTTTTCTCACGTTCTCATTCAACATATAATTCCATCTCTTATATAATCAATTTCTAATATTTCATATTGTTATTATTTCTCCGGCAGTGACACCAAAATGTTGTTCTTGTTGAGTTCTAGCTTCAGTAGATTAAAGCAATTGAACTAATAGAGGTGGTTTCAAACACGGAGAAAGACCGGTTATATGAATTGGATCTATTAGTGTCACAATTGATTGTATTCTGGCTATTTGAAATCAAATATCAAACTACAAAATATCGAGGCTTACTACTTCCATCTTAATTCAATCCATAATCCATTCTACAATTATCAATTCAACAATACTTCTCTCAATCACCATTCTTCATAAACAAATAAGAAAGAAAATAAAGAGGTAGCACGAAGCTTACCTCGGCTTATGACTCTCAGTTTGGCTCTCGACTTAGGACTCTCAATTTGACTCTCGGCTTATGACTCTTAGTCTGGCTCTTGACTTACGACTCTCGGTCTGGGTCTCAGCTTACAACTCTCCTTAACCTATTTATTCTACCAAAAAGATGATCCGTCAGCTAGCGGATTCCAAAGGTTATGACCCTTTGAATTCTTAACCATTTATTCTACTAACAACCTACTGTTATCAACTAAATTGCCTAACCATTAGTCTAATTTTTAAGGTTGTTAATAACCAACTAATAACTTATCACAAAGTTTATTTACCTATTCTACACTTTATCTCAAATTTTGAAAGTAGGTGCATGATTCCAAAATTTATTTACGAATGCCTTATAAGCTTCTTAGGGAGTTTGCAATTGAAGCTTCAATATAGTTTGAAGCTCCGATAGTTGTTTCACAAATCCTACAGCTGTCGAATTGTTATTGGTTGATGGACTCAATAAATCAAGCTTGAAATAATACCCATAGTTGGAAAAGAATGGTGTGTATTGATTCGACGTATGAAGGATGTTGTTATATGCAAACTTGACTAACGATAGATATGCAGTCCAATCATCTTGTTGATAGTTGATGCTACATCATAAATACTACTTTAAAGTTTGATTCACCCGTTCCCTTTGGCCGTCAGTTTGAGGATGGAAAGCCGAAGAAAGCTTGACATTCACCTTCAATATCTCAAAGAGAGATCTCCAGAATTTTGATACGAATTGGGTTCCTCGATCCGACATAATATTATTTGGTAGATTATGATATCGATACACACTATCAAGGAAGAGCCTTGCTGTGTCTTTGCTTGACAATGTTTTCTTACAAGGAACAAAGTATGCCATCTTTATAAGCCGATCTACCACAATAAAGATATTGTCAAATGAATTCGATGGCGGCAGGTCGATAATGAAGTCCATAGAAATTAAAGACGTCGAATAAGCAATGGCTGAAGAAGACCATAAGGACAATGCCGAGAGTTCTTAGATCTTGAACAAATGTTATAGGAGAAGAAAAAATCCTTGACATCCTTCCACATTTGGCGCCACCAAAAATCTTGAGAAATAAATTCCAAGGTCTAATTGAATCCAAAATATCCAACAGTTAGAAAGTCGTGTTGAGATTGGAGAACTTAGAGTCGTGCTAGTCCCTTTGGAATATACAATTGCTCTTCAAAGTATAAAAGATCTCCTTCTACCTTGAGCTTGTCATTATTGACACATTACGTGATATTGAGGGCTACAAAATCTCCAATAATTGTAGTACGTACCTAATTGAAGAAGTCAATATTAATTGATATTATAGCAAAGCAAAGCCTGAATTATTCTGACTTCAATAATATTGTACACTATTGATCAAATGGTGCTTCTCCAGCCTTTGGCGCTAGATACGATCTCTCTGATAATGCATTGGATAGTCCTTGTTGCTTCCTAAACCGATAAGTAATAACAAAGTCAAAACTGGATAGTAACATATTCCATTGAGCTTGATGACGATTTAGAACCCGAGTCGACATGAAGTACTCCAAATTCTTGTGATCCGGGTATACGATTATCGGATGCGCAGCTCTTTTGAGAAAGTGACACCATTTTTGGAAAGAATCCACTATTGCAAGAAGTTCTTTATCATGGATCTCATAGTTGATCTCGATAGCAGAAAACTTTTGAGAGTAAAATACAATCGAATGATGCTTCTTGTCTGCACCTATTTACAAAAGTACAACTCTTATAGCAAAATCTGAAGTATTAGTCTCTAAATAGAAGGCCTTTGCAAAGTCTAGATGTACTAAGATTGGAGCCATAGTAAATATTGTCTTAAGATCTTGAAATATTTTTTTGCTAAAAGTCCCCATTTGAGCTTGTCTTTAAATGTCAACCGAATGAGCAGAGCAACAACTTGAGAATAATTCTTAATGAAGATCTAATAGAAGTTAGCAAAGCCAAGAAAGCATTGTACATCTCTAATCATTTTTAGAACTTCCCATGACATGATTGCTTCTACCTTCTTAGGGTCCATTTTCAAGCCTTCCATAGTTGTAATGAATTCCAAAAATTCTATCTCAGTTTGGTTAAATAAGTACTTCTCCAACTTCACGTAAAGTCCTCGCTTGGAGAGTTTTTCAAGGACTAGATGAACGTGTTTCTCATGCTCTTTTATGTTCTTGGAAAATATCAAAATATCATCCAGATAGATGACAACAAAATCGTCAAGGTGCTTCCAAAAGATGTCATTCATGATATCTTGAAAGACCACCGGAGCATTGATAAGACCAAAAGGCATGACATTACATTCAAAATGACCATATCTTGTACGAAAAGTTGTCTTCTATTCATCTCCTTTCTTGATTTGCATGAGGTTGTAAGCTCTCCTTAGATCAATCTTTGTAAAGATCTTTGCATGTCCAAGTTTCTCTAGAAGACCTGATATCAGAGGTAATAGATAACGATTTTTTTTTCACCTTGTTGAGACCTCGATAATCCACGCACATCCGTAGCAAGCCATCTTTCTTCTTTACAAATAAGATTGGTGCTTCAGTTGATGACTTTGAATGACGAATGAAGTTCTTGACTAGATTCTAGTGAATGTACTTTTACAACTCCGCTAACTCCATCTACAACAAATTGTAGATTGGGCCAAAAGGTGGTTCTGCTCCTTCCTGCAAGTCTATGGCACAATCGTATGGTCAATGCTTCGATAGCATGTCAGCATTCTTCTTTTGAAACACGTCTTCAAAATCTTTATATTGCTCTAGTATATTTTTATTGTTGAAATCTTTTCTCCGCTAGTTGGAGTCGCATAAATGACAAACAGTGTGCCTTCCATGGATGATGTTACAAATGCTCTTGCTTCAATAAATAAGAGTTTTTTGATTTGGGATCTTCTAACAAGTTTACTCTCCAGATATTCTATAGGAAATTTCATCCTTTGTAACGTCCAATCTATGGATGGATTATGCATTTCTAACCAAGAAAGACCAAGAATAACAGGGTTTAATGGGATTCTAATAATATTGAAAATTGTAACGACTCACAAAACCACAAGATTGTAGGTATATGGTAAATACAGGTCGATCCCATGAGGAAAATGGTCAAAGATCTCAAATAGCTTGTAAATATGCCACATCTTCTTCATTCAATCACTTCACTCTTAGTTTAGACTCTTGGGTGATAGACATAATCCAACGAGTTGAAGGCCAGTTCTAAACAGGTCTTCAGATACACAATCTTCTAGTTTCTCTACTCAAATCCTCTCTTATCTGGAATAAAACAAAGTCTCTTGAGATGGATGATCACTTTATTCCGAGCTCAGAAACTCAATGTGAAGGCAGGTCCTCTCGATTTGGCAGTCTACTGCAAGGAAATAACACCTTCCTCGAAGTGTGCTACCTTCAATGCTACTATGGATGCCACACAACTACTCTTGCCTCCAAGACAAGGATCTTCACTGTGTACAGGGACTTACTCCCACAAAGCTTCAACTACCAAAAGAGATGAGCACCAAGCTGCTTGAGTCTCAGAGTATCGACGAGGGAATCTGAATTCAACCTTCAATAGCTACAGCCACTGGAACAAAGGATCCTAATTTCCTCAGATCCCTCTCTATTTATACTACTCCAGTTCGGAAAGGTCTAACTACCTACCTCTAACTAACTAACTGAAATCTGTTATAACTGTGGATACACTAATCTCGAAGGTCGAAGGTCTGTTTGAAGGTCATCTTCCAAATGTAAATTTCCGAAGATCTTCAAGATAACCATCTTCGGGATTTTGACCTTCTCTTCAGTCTTCTAACACTATATTCCTAATTCACTGTTTATCTCCTATCTTCTTACTTAACAACTTCTTCTTCAGATCTTTCCTAATCTATTTCTACAAAATTTAAAATAAATGATTTTCCTAGGCACCACATGCTCTCTTTCTCAAATATTTGCGACCCCGCAAACACTATTCATGGAATCTTCTATTTATCTTTCTTTGTCTCGTTTCTCTTCCCTTACATGTTCCTGCAATCATTTACAACTTCGAGACTCAGAAATTGTGCAAGTCCTGCTGCCTTCGGAATAGAGCTTCTGGCAGCGACTATCTCCTGAATCTTCTTCTGCTCGTTCGCCTTCCAGGGTTTCGTTCTTGCGAGGGTCGAAGGTACCCTCCCCATCCTGAAGATAGTCTTGGTAATACCCTTCCGGAAAGGGATCTTCGCGAATTTGTTGCCACCTCCTGATGACAGTCTTCGTTATCCGTGGTACTTTTTCACCCTCCAGCCATTCACTCGATTGGCAAAGGAATTTCCTGCGAGATCTTCAAGCTGCAGTGATCCATTCTCATAGATCTTGGTTACCTTATACGGGCCCATCCATCGAAGATGTAGCTTGCCTGGAAATTTGAAATGTCTACTGTCATAGAGAAGGACTAAATCTCCGTCTTTCAAATCTATCTTCCGTATCTTGTTATCGTGGTTCTTCTTCCTTCTCTCCTGAATGTCCAGGGTGAAATCTCTCGCTTCGTCTCTGTTTTCTTCTAACTGTATCAGCTGTAAGAACCTCACTTCCTGACTCTCTTCTACTGATAAGCGATCTGCACTCAGCACACGATGGGTAGGGACTTCGAACTCAACTGGGAGAATGGGATTTATCCCGTAGGTTAAATAGTAAGGTGTTCGGCGGGTGGTTATCTTCTCCGCAGTCCGGTACGCCCAGAGCGCAGCCGATAGTTTGGCATCCCAGTCATATGCGTAGTTAACGGTCACTTTGTTAAAGATCTTACACAGAAGACCGTTGGACTTTTTGGTTAAACCGTTGGCCTTCAGGTTGTAGGGTGTGGTCTTCCTGTGTCGAATTTGAAAATATTCTGTCAGCACTTCGATCAGATGGTTGAGAAAGTAACTACCTCGGTCGCTAACCAATTCCAACGGACATCCATAACAGGAAATGACGTTTCGGAAGAAGAACTCCGCAATGGTCGCAGCATCGTCCTTCCGAGTTGCTTCCACTTCAACCATCTTCGTTCAGTAGTCTGTTGCAACCAAAATATACCGCTTCCGAGTATATTGAGTAACGGGTTGAATGGGGCCTACAAAGTCAATTCCCCATTTCTCGAAGGGGGCTAAAGGTAGTATAGGACACAATGGCCATTGAGTGGAAGGTGTGGGCCTTCCAACTCGTTGACATGCATCACACCTTCGGATATAGTCATGGGTGTCCTTATACATGGTCGGCCACCAATATCCTGCAGCCAAGATCTTCTTAACTGTATTCTTTAGTGCGTAGTGTCCCCCAGCTGCTTCCGAGTGTAATGCTTCAATGACACCTCCCACTTCACAGCTTTTTAGGCATCTTCGAAGCTCTTCGTCTGCTCCCATCTTGAATAGAATACCCTTCTTGAGTTCATATGGGCTCATTTTGTGAATGAACACAGATCTCTGTACAGGGTCCTGTCCTTCAGGGCACTGCATTGTTTGAAGATACCTGTATTCGTCCATGTATCGTGTAGTCTGCAACGTCGTCATCTGGAACAGATCTTCATCTGGGAAATCATCCAGGATTTCTTCCTTTTGCTCTTCTGTTTGAAGACGAGACAGATAGTCTGCATTCGCATGTGTACTCCCCTTCTTAACCTGTACTGTATAATCAAATTCTTGAAGGAGTAACACCCATCTGGCTCTCTTCTAGATAAGTCCGCCTTCTTCACTAAATACTGAAGAGGAGAATGATCAACATGAAACACGAATGTGTATCCAAGAAGGTACGTCCGAAATTTTCTGCACGAGTACACCATTCCCAACGCTTCCCGTTCTGTGGTGGTGTAATTCTTCTCAGCAGCGTTAAGGTATCGACTTGCGTAGTAAACCGGATGGTCCTTCTCGTCTTCGTCTTTCTGACTGAGAATTGTGCCTATTGCGAAGGAGGACGTATCCACGTACACATGGAAAGGTCTCTTCCAGTCTGGTGCTTGAAGGACTGGTGCCTTCATCAGTGCTTCCTTCAGGACTAAGTAGGCTCTCTCCTGTTCCGCAGTCCAGTCATAGTATTGATCTTTCTTTAATAACTTGATCAAAGGCGCAGCTAAAGTAGCATAGCTTTGTACAAACCTTCGATAGTAACCAATATGACCTAGGAATCCTCTTAACTCACGAATATTCTTGGGTGGTTCTAAGTCTTTTATGACCTTGATCTTCGTCTGGTCCACCTCTATTCCTCTCTCGGACACCCTGTGGCCAAGAAGGATACCTTCTTTCATGAAGAAGAAACACTTCTCCGGATGTAAGGCTAGATGCATCTGCCTACATCTTTCGAAGGTGATTCCTAGGTGTTTCAGATGATCTTCTCTCTTCCCAAAAATACAGAAATCATCTATGAAGACCTCCACAAACTTTCGTAGGAAGTCCTTGAAGATGGTATTCATTAATCGCTTGAAGGTTGCAGGTGTGTTGCACAGTCCGAAGGGCATTCGGTTGTATGCAAAGGTACCCCAGTCGGTTGTGAAGGTGGTTTTATCCTTATCTTCTTCTCGAATGGAAACTTGATTATAACCTGAGAATCCATCTAAGAAGGAATAGCATTCATGTCCTGCCACCTGGTCCAAAACCTGATCTATGAAAGGAAGAGGGTGATGGTCCTTCTTAGTTACCGAATTTAGCTTTCAAAAATCTTGGCATACCCAAATTTTCCCATTCTTCTTGGGAACTACCACAATGGGTGATACCCATTCACTGGATAGTACTGTGAAAATTATCCCAGCCTTCAAGTATTTCTCAATCTCATCCTTTACCAACATGGAGTATTTTAGGTTTTCTCTTCGCTGTCTCTGGCGTACAGGGATTGCTCCCTCGACTAAATCGATTCGGTGTTCCTCATACTCCTTCGGAATTCCTGGCATCTGCTCAATGCTCCAAGCGAAGATGTCATGATATTTTAAGAAGATTTCTCCACATGATTGAAGTTCTTCTGGGGTTATGTATTTGGAAACCTTCAAGGTCTTCCCTTCGCCCAAATCAATGTCGAGACAATCATTTGGGTTGACGATGCCTTCGACATGACTGGTCGAACTTATTCCCAATCGAGCTAAGTCCAGATTTTTCTCAGACTCGGGATCTTCGTTTCCTGAGTCTTCCTCATCCTCATCAACTAGGTAACATGTCACATAACTCACATCATAAGGGTCCTTCAAATCAGTCAAGGAAGTTTCGGAAGTCTCCGACGTGTAACCCTGGTTAGTCGGAGGGGTCTCTCTTAGGTGTGGAACCTTCTTCCAACTTACGATTATTGGCTTCTGTGCTGGACCTCGAAGGTCCTTGAACTTCAATTCGTGACGGTACTAGTTTGTCTTTACTTTCGCTCCGTATAACCATGGTCTTCCGATCAAAACCTTGTATCCCTTTTTCACTATTGGACAAATGATAATATAAGTTAGTTTGAAGGGCACTCCTCCTATTAGAGTTTTTACATTTCGAAGAATACCTGCTGGCTTTCTCCTTGTTTGATCTGCTAGTCTCAGCATTTTAAGAGTGGTTTCGAAATCATGGTAGCCCAGATCATGAGCTGTCTCCTCTGTCATGATATTGACTCCAGATCCTGAATCTACTGGCACTTCCTTCAAAATGCACCCTGCAATTTTCACGTCAATCTCTGGTGATCCCAGGTCTTCTTGTTCCACATGAAATACCGTAGGGAGTATTCTCTTCCGTTTAGCATTCGAATGACGAAGAGAAGATGCAACCAACTTCCTGTATGGTTTGCTATCTGCTAGAAGTTGTCCGAAGGTCACATTCGCCTTCTGGCCTTTCAGATCCTCCACTACGTCGTAATTTGGCACAACTTGTTTCTTTTGAATGGTCTTCGTAGAAGGTACTTCTATTTTCTTTTCCGAAACTATGGGTGCCAATTCATCTTGTACTTTCTTCTGGATGAGCTCTTGGACTTCCTCTCGGATGTCCGCGGGGAAAGCAGTCGGCTGCTTATCTTCATGCGGACTAGCGGTGGCTTGCTTCGGTGTCTCCTTCTTGGAAGGAGTGGGAATTTCGATATTCTTCCGTTCGCTCTTCTTCTTTGGTGGAGGTGATTCAGGAGATGAAGATGAACTGCCCTTCTTCTTCTGTTTCTTAGTATTTCGTGTCTCTACTTTCAAGACCTCTATCAGAAGATCATCTCTAAATTCCTCAGGCCATTCCATTTCCAGATCTTCCGAAGGTTTAGTATGGTCCCATGAGACCAAATTTACTGGAGTATCTACCTTCGGAATTGTGACTGGAGGTGCAATATTGAAACGTACCGTAGGTTTCTGCTGTGCTGGACGTTGATCACAGTTTGCCACTGTATGTCCCAGTTTCCCATAGTTTCCACACAATGGTACATAACCGAGCTATCTTCGAGGTTCTGGGCAGCTCCTTGCCCAGTGTCCATATTTTCCACAGTTCAAGCACGCACCTGGGGGTGAGTTGTGTGGTACCATCGTTCTGGGTGGCAAGTTTTGCTCGTATTCTCTTGGCACATACCTCGGAATCATGACCGGTGGTATTGGTGTGTGTGTAGGAACTTCTTCCACTGCGTACACCTGGTCTTCTTGCTGGTAGCCTTCGTAGTAATCCCATGCAGGGACCCACTCCATTTGTTGTACAGGATACGAAGGTCGATTGGAATAACATTCACTCGCTGTATGACCTGGTTTCTGACTGATGGTACACCAAACGTTAGGCCGCTGATAGGAAGGTTTTGGTCTAGGAGGTTGAGTACCAACCACCTGTATCTTCAACTCAGCCATTTCCTTCCGAAGAGTATCCATAGGATCTTCTTTCTTTGGAGTGCTAGGTCTGGGTGTCGTTTCTTCTTTCTTCCTATCTTTCTTTCTCTTTTCTTTCCTCTTATGTGAGGCCTTTCTAGTGTCTTCTTCGGAAGATGACGAGGAATAGCTCGATGAGTCCGAAGATGCCGACGAGCTTCAAGAAGAGCTTGACCTTCTCTTCTTCTTCTTCGAACGCTTCTTCTCCCTTCCACGTGATTCCTTCTTGTAATGTGCTGTTTCATATATCTCGGCACTACTGATGGCATTGTCCAAAGTAGGAGGGGTATTCTGTCTTTCTCTGCAGAACAATCGAATCGGGTCTTCCAACCCGCTTATGAAGTAATCTGTGGCTTGGGCTTCAGAAATTTGACCCGTATTGGTCCCAGATCGAAGTCCTCCAGCTCTGTCAATGAGTACTTGAAATCTTTCTACGTAATTCCAAAGTTTCTCCTTTTTCCTTCGTCTTATGTGACTAAGACGGGTCCATACGTTTTGCTCATAGGCCACCTCCCTAAATCGCTTTAAAAAAGCATCTTTAATTTTATTCCAGGTGTTGACGTTTGTTACATCTTTACTGACGTGTGTCCACCAATTCCTCGCATGATCTCAAAGAAGACCAGAGAAGATTCGTTTCCGATCATCTTCTGCATGCTCCTTGTTAGCAAACGAGATAGATTTAAATTCCTTGATGAAGTTATCTGCATCTTAGTAATCGTCATCTTCTTCATCGGACCCTCCTCGGAATTTTATGTATGTCTGCTTGGTGATTGGGTTGGATGCCATTGAAGTCTTTGGATTATGACGAGCTAACGCCGGTGGATGAGGTGGAGGTGGAGGTGGTGGCACCGGTATTGAAACTGGGGTCGCCATACTAGGTGGTTGCTTCCCTTTTGTCGAAGGTGGAAGAGCTGTTAGGGAAGATGAAGGGAGTAAATTCGAAAGTACTGGATTGCTCTGTTCTTCCCTTTCTTCTTCTTCTGGCTCTTCTTCTTGTTGACCTTCCTCTTGTGGGTTGTCTTCTACTTCTTCTTCGAGTGTTGATCCTCGGATGATGTCCTCTTCTTGTTGATCAAGTCTAAGGTTCTGTTTGAGTACCACTGGTTCTAGTTGATCGATGATGGTTCTCGGATCAATGTTTCTGAAGACATCTTCGACTTGTTTCTCAGTTATCTCTGGAATAGGGGAAGTCCGTGGTTCCGTGGATTCAGAAGGTCCAGCACC